TGAGGGAAGTCAGATAGCAAAGCAGGAAGACAGACAACCACTTATAAATACACACACAGAAATCAAAGCTGGTACTTTTGCTCAGACAGCAACTCCTCTTAGCTGACCTGCATCAGGTTCTACATCTTACAATGAACTGAAGTCTGGCTGCAGTAGTTAGATACTCTTACTCAGAGGAAATGGAGTTCAGCAGTGGTTTAAATCAGTCAAGACAAACTTTTCAAACGTAATTAAGTTAGGTGGTAGGACATGTTCAGACACCTATTTTTGCCAGCAGTCTGATTTCTAGCCACAACAATCATCCTAATGATCATCCTAATGATCTTTGTCTGGCACTATGTGAAGCAGGAAAAGAAGCAGAGGGCTGCAGTGAGACCTTAAGGCAAAAAAACACTTGTTCTCACTRTTACTTGTGATTTGTGAGTGCTAAATTTATTCAAATAATTGGCAAGGAAATCTTGGGGGGAGAAGCAAATAATGTGTTTACCAAATGCTCTTTGTTKTCTTTAAATATGGCATATTGTGAAAAAAAAATACATGGAGATCAGCAATTCCCTCTAGTCTTAGAATTATAGAAGGTGACCTCAAATAGCAGCTCCTGRAGTGTTTTTGTTCTGAAATGCTTTTGGCTTCCGTGAAGCAAATCAGGAAGGATCAACCTGTTTCTCTCCTGACACTTCCCCTACAAAACTGCCTTTTCAAGGGCAAGCTGAGGAGGGGTACACAGACCAAAAACAAAATCAAGAAGGATATTGGACAGGGTAATTCCCACCTAATCAGAGGCTATACTCTTTCCCATCAGCAATGTTCACCTCCAGAGCAAGGCTTACTAAGTTTAAAGAGAGGCAGAACAGAGTGCAAGTGAGAGACTGGGCACGTTGTACTGRTGTCTTTGTACAAGCTGCTGATGGCACAGGTGCTCTTGCGAGCACAGGAGACGAAGTAAAATTCATGTGAAAGGCAATATTGCTGTGGACCCAAAGAGACAAAGAGGCTCTRTACAGAAGTTCAGGGGGAAGATGGGGAGTGGAGAAAGTATAGTTAGCCAAACTGCCCAACACATCAGATATAATCCAAGAAAAACAGCCAAGAATTTATCAATACATTTCCRCTGGCATTATTTGTGTTGTAGAAAAAGGAAACATTTTCCCATGYCTGTGCAGCACATTTTTCCTTAAAATCCAAACAATTTCTAGCAAACATCCCAAATAGGAAAAATAAGAAAATACTTTTGTCTCAGTCAAAAAATAACCAAGAAATTGCTTCATATTTGGTAAATCACAACACAGATGGCTCYGAAGCTCAAACCTGTCATGTCAAGCATTGCCAGCAGCAGATATGCTAAGTCCTTACTTTAAAAGGATTTCTATTTGCTGCATTTATAAACAATCATAATGATGCTACCAGGCACTGTTATAATTAGGAAACACTAGAGGTCAGTCATCCTTTCTTCTCTGCAAGTGCAATTCAATATGATTACAAACAACAGCTGGATATTAACAGCAAAACAGGATGAAAGGGAGTTATTTACATTCTCAAGCACAAGTATGTCACTACAAGACCTGATGGTCAAGCAATCAARTCCCTAATAGGGCCTGTCCTCCACAGTTTGGGATGGGACTGAAGCAAGTTCTTTGTGCACCACGATAACCTAAGCAAATTCAGCAACAAAACACGTGAGAACTACTCAACAATCCATTATGTCYGGCTTAAGAGCTTTTCACATTATTTAAAGGTAAAAATGAGATCTTTGCTATCACAAGTGACTTGATCTTACTATGTGCCATAGRAGAGATGGGTGTGTCAACTGCAATGTATACTACCTTACCTCATGAAGACTGACTTACAGTTGGAAACAGAAACATTTTTGCTGCTTTATTATGACACGTTGAAGTCTTCCACCATGCCTCCAAACAAGCTCAAGCCTGCATAACTCTAATACAACACACAGACAGCACAAGMCTGCAGACTCTAGGCAGCCACCTCTGCAGCCAGCAAATGTCCTGTTCTCRCAGCTTCAAGAGATTTCCTCAGTTAAGCATCCCCAGAGACAAGGAAGTCCGAATGTGGCTCTGGCATGGTCAAACAATCCTAGGGAGGATGATGGCTAGTCTCCCTCCCACACATGCTGCTTTCCCCCTTTCATCATGCCAGCTTTTTSGGCATCTAAGGCTTAGTGGCACTGCTCTGATCTTGCCTATCCTGTGGAGTTAACATAAGGAACTGCAGACAACTTCAGGCAGAAAAAAAACTGTAAGAAAACAGCAAGTTTCTTTTTCCTAATTGGCAGCATATATAATATACCAATAACTTAACCAGAAGATGATCTTTTCCATCTGATGGTTGTTGCCTGCAAGATTAAATCCCCACAGACTTTGCCTGGAGAACGAAAAGGAAAAAATCATGCCCCAGTAAAGTCATTGTAGCAACACACTGCATGAGGAAAAAGGTTTGCTGTCTTCTTCCAAATTACCTCCTACTTATGTGAGATTGCATTTCTATGGGGAAGCAAAGCAAAGCAGACTTAAAGTCATTTTGGTTCATCCAGGCTGGCTTCAGAGACAGGAGCTGTCATTCAGCTCACTACAGAGTGACAGGACTAAAGCCCAGTGTTTTCACAGAACCAATACTCCAATGCCAGTGTTAGACAGCTAACTAGGACTGAACACATCTAACTCCAGACTGGCAGGACACCAACAAAGAGAGGCAATCCCCAAGTCATATGGGGATACTTTGTGGTGTATATGGCTGGGTTTTCTGCGGTTTCTCCCATTAGAAATTGGAGACAGAATTCTTCACAGATATACATCAGCATGGATCTAGTTCTAAAAAAAAAAAATTGCCCACTGCATTTACAGATTTACCAGCTGCTTCTGACTGGCTTCCTACCTTCTCCCTACCTGAAATACTCTGGCCCTTCTCAAAATTAATGAATTCTCAACACTTTGTAGTTCCTTCCTGATGAACTGTCCCAAGACTCAGAGTCTATCCACTCAGTCAGTCCTCCCTGCCTCCATAAAGCTCCTCGTGTTGTGCCAGATGTCGCAGAATACAGCTGGCATAAATACACACTCAGCCAGCACGGGACCTGTGGCTCCCAAGATCTGGCACTAATACTATCCATATGGATAGTAATGCAATCTCATTGAGAACCAAAGCAGTTTWGCCACTGCATTGTCACAGACTTGGTAGGAGCAGGGATAGAGTCTTAAACCACKCAGTGGCCCAAGTAACTTCTTAACACAGCTTTTCCACAGAGAGGAAGTCTTTGGTATAATTGTCAAAACTCATAAACACTCAGTTTGAAACTGAAGCCAAAGAGAATTTTCCCACTGAAACCCAAATGCCTGACTTTTTACTTAAACCATGCTCAGGTCCAGCTTCCAGTGGACCACTGTAGTGAGTGGACAGCACCTGAAACAAATAAAATACCTGTGGCTTGCTAAAAGAAAACATATTATTTCAGTTCCAGCGTATGGGAGATGAACTTGCTTACATCATCAACTTCCTACTGCTTGAAGATCATTATGTTTGAGCAAATTGCTCTCTCCTCTGTTTTTATTTCCCCAAATACAATACGAATGGTAACAGTACAGCCAATAAAGTGCTCTCTGAAATAAAGATGAAATGTAGCATAGGGACATAGTGCGGTGATTGCATGAGGTACTCAATGACATTGAAACAAGGAAATTGTACTATAGAAGACAGAGAACCCACACTGCTATCACCAACATTCATCGTTACAGGGAATTCAGTGTGGGAACTGGGTATAATGTCAGTACCAGTCACTTCTAGGAAGCCTGGCAGGAATGACTTTGAGAACYGACACTAGTCCCCCACGGAGCTCTTTCTAGACACAAAAGTTACTYCAGGAACAAGTTCTAAGCAAAAGAAAAACAAAACAATGATCACATGGTATACTAGTGCATCTTTTACAAAGGCAGAATGCCTTTGATCTTCAGCTTCTCTATTCCTATAAACAGAATCACTACTTAATGATACTTTTTTTCCTTCTTGAATACAGAAATAAACATCCTGAGTGACAGGGACTTTTTGCCTTGTGCAGGCTGTGCAGAGGGCCTTGTGATCTGATAGGTTCTCCCAAATGGGAAATAGAACAACGCAGACCTTAAAGCTGGCTTGTGAGCAAGAATCACAAAGAAGTCTTCCATCCTTCATAATACCGTGTCACATAGGTAGCCCAGGATGTATCAGATAACACAACCATCACATTGTGGGACACTAACAATTTACTCCTGGAGTTAAGCCCTTGGCTTTAACCCTCTGTCAAGCCAGAGCAGTACACCAGAAGAAAGTGAAATTTCTACCTTCTGAAAAACACCCATGGGTGCACCAGTTTACCACTCACTTTGCTTGTGCTTGCTAAAACGTGCCTACACATGTGAGCTTAATCATAACCCCTGGCCATACCTGAATTCGGTTAACATAGTATTAATGAAAAGTATTTGACAGCCTCTTTTTTTAACTCAAGCACAGGTTTAGACAACTCTAAAGAAGTTGAGCAGGAACAAGTTTTATAAAACCTTATTCTTACAAGCTAATCTGTAAAAAAACAACCACGCCATACAGTCTGGTCATATCTTAGGTAGGTCTGCACGGTCCTGGCACTGCTAAGTCCCCCCCAGGTGACATCTCTGCACACAGAAGTCTTGACACAGAACTCCAGGAGTGCTAGGGGCACTGATCAATATCCYCTCAAATGCAACACTCGCAGCCCCGAGCCCCCACGCTACAACCTGAAAGCAACACGATTTCCTAAATTTGCATATGCAACTAACTCAGCATAAAGCATAGTGTTCCCCTAAATGCTACATTTGGGAAATGTGCAAGTTTTGGGGAGCAAAAATAAGCAATGAGCCCCACACGCCATGACTGGCATCAAGAGAAGTCGTCCAAGCAGACAAGCTGAACAACGTCCCTGCTGCTGCAAGGAGTCACTGAAGGGTGAATAAACGTTTTTAAATGTGACTGTCACTTACTTRTCCAGGACGAAGTAGAGATCAAAGGCACCGTGACAGGAGCGCTGCTCTTCTTGCTCTTCCTTCTCCTCCGGCCGGGCGCAGCAAATTAGGCTCCCCATTGCCAGCAAAAAGCAGCACAAAAATGCCGCTTTCTCCACACTGCTCCAGCAACTCGCCATCTTTTCCCTTTCTCCCCTTCCTTAATTCTTTCTCCTCCCACAGAGTCTCTCTCTCTCTCTCACTCTGCAAATCTTACAGGCGCTTCAAACGCACCGACAGCAGAG